TGGCCGGAACAGAAAACAGGAATTCAGCCCCTCTGGCCAGCTTGTTGTACACAGCAAAAACACCTAGTTTCTGTTGCCTTTGGGCTTCAGCTTGAATCCAAATCTACTCCATTTAGTAATCATCTTCCTTCTCTGTGTATTACAGGAGCTGTGACATTTTGGAGTAATTCAAACTTTTGCCAGATGTTGCGTTTGATCTGGTTTTAATTTCAGCACCCGATTGGTGCCTGGTTTTAGGATTCTTACTGCTGCCGGTTGAATCTCTGGGTTTGTGCTGGTTCAGGTGTGTGTGAAGCAAAGCGTGAAAACGAGCTGCCAAATGGCGGCGTTGGGCGGCTCAGGAGGAGGCAGGAGAGTTACCTCTCCGGCGAAGAACAGCTTTCCCTGCACGTCCTCGGCCAGCACGTCGTAGGCCTCCCCGCTGCCGCCCGTCTTCACAAAGCTGTAGGACATCTGAGACCACCTGTCTTTGCTCCAGTGGGTCACAAAGTAGTTCACAGGGTCTGGGACGTCCTGTGGGAGGAAGAGGACCTTTAATCCACAAGCGGAGGGGAAATCCCATCCAAAATGAGGCGAGACAGGTTTATGTTACAGTTTGAGTTTTGTGTCCACGACAACTCAAAGTACCTTACATTTTAAAAGCAGACAATGAAGATAAAGAAAACAAATAAAAATAAGTTTAACCAAATAAAATAAATAGATTAAAGGCTAAAAAAAATTCAGCTGTAGTAACCCTGTTTCACCTCTTCAAGAAGACCGATTCAGATTTGAGGAGCATCAAACTGAAATGAAGCCTCTCCTGGTTTGGTTCTGACCTCTAAGAAATCAGGTGTGTTTTAAGCTGCATAGTTAATGGTTCTGATGCTGATAAATATGAGAGAAGTGGCCCAAAGAGCCGATGATCACAGGGAGGGCTGAGGGTGATCCCTCCACAGGGATGAATGGAGATACAAGCAGAGGTCGGGGCTGTGGGGCCAGGAAAGGGTTAATAACCCTTTAGTTTTCTACCCTTCCATCATCCATCGCTTATCTGTGGCCGGGTTGGGGGGCAGCATCTTAAGCAGGGAGATGGTTCAACTGGGGAATGATACACTTGAGTTTAGATGTCTTAACTGAGTTTATGCAGCGTCCAATCAGATCTCCAACAAGGATAATAATGAGTCTGCATACCCCTCAGCATGTAGCTAGTTGCTCCCCTGGTAGTCTCAGCTGACCCTTGACCCTCTATGCTGTGGCCGACCGGACCCCTGACCGGTGCTCACCTGCTCGGGGAAAAGCTCCCTCAGGACCTTCAGGCACTCTCCCACCACCTCCTGGTCCTCCAGCTCGCAGACAGCAGGAACGGCGTCGCCAGAGATGACCGACATCAACACCGCCTGCTTCCCCTGTTGGACACAGTTACATCAGCCAGGGCCTCAAAGGGTCTGAGCTTGGTTTCAGGGATCGGATACCCAGAACCTCACAGGACTGGGTCCTTCATTCTCCTCCCAGTCTAAACACACACATCTGGAGCAGATACTCAGACTCCCATGATGCCTCAGTGACCCTGAGGGGGAGGAGCCGACCCTCTGATCCAGAACCAGTCGGCTCCTCCTTGGTCATGGCTTTAAAAACACACCTGAGGGTCCAGGTCGTAGAAGACGCTGAACAGGCCTCGCTTTTCCGGTGCCGGCGGGATGTGACCAAAGTAGTCGGCTCCCTGGATCTTGGAGTCCCAGAACCGGGTCGGGAACTGCAGAGCGATCTGCGGGACGTTCGGACTGAGGTTTAGCTGCTGGGCACCGACAGCCTCTGGAGGCGGGCCGGCGGGGATGGGAGGTACCTTTTCGATGATGCCGGCTCCCAAGCTGTGGATGGCCTTCAGCTTCCTCTCAGGAAGGGGGGGGTGGAAGTGGAGGAGGCCCCTCTGGAGCAGGGTCAGCGGGACGGTGACCAGAACCTGGAAGAGAAAGCAGCCCGATGAGGACTGGATCCCTGAACAGAACCTGCCCTCTGAATCAAACGTATTTCTGTCCCCCATATCATCCTGTCCTGGTTTTGGTTCTGATTAACTTTTTCCCTAGTTCTGATGGAGGTTTCTTCTGGTTCTGATGGAGGTTTGTTCCTGGTTCTGGTCCTGATGGAGATCTCTTCCTGGTTCTGCTGGTGTCCTTGGTTATGAACGAGCTGGACCCATTTGGAATACCTGGATCCTGACGGCTTAACTGAACCGGATCAGAGGTGAAATCTTTTGTCATCTGCTGCTTTAGAGATGAACCTGAACCCAGAGCCTTTGGTCCTGTAACCCAGTGGGCTTGTTTCAGAGCCTCTACCTTCTGGGCCATCCACTGCGACCCGTTTGATGAGGTCACTTTCACGAGGTCCCCCGAGTAATCGACCGTCTGGACCAGGAACCAAAAACCCATTTCAGTAGAGGCAGACTGATCTGTGGTGCCACCGGGTCCAGAAGGGGGGCACGAACCGGACAGTTCCTGTGGATCTCCAGGCCCTCGGCCAGTTTGTTGAGAAGAACCGAGTAGCCCCTGGTCAGCAGGGTGTGGTCTCCCGAGAACTGGGCAAAGAACTCGTTGTGGTCCCAGGACCGGGCCGAAACCTGCACACAGAACCAGCATTTTTAGTCCAGTGAGACTAAGGGGGAGGGGGGCTTTGTGGGCCGGTTCTGTTAAACTCTGACACAAGGAGTCTGTGAGGGGAGGGGCCGTTAAGGGGGGAGCTATTAAGGGGAGGGATCCTTAATTATCGGCGGGGCCGATAATTAGGGGAGGGATCGTTAAGGGGAAGCTGTTAATTGAGAGGGGGCACAGTCAAGAGCCCTGGGGGGGGGCCCTGAATGATCCCACAAACCAGCCAGAGGAGGAAGGACGCCATCTGACCGGTTTGAGCAGATCAAATAAAGAGCATCTGTCTGACCCCTGAGCAGAGGAGGCCTTCCAGACCTGGTCCAGGGTGCTGCCACAGGCGTACTCCAGATTACTGAGATGAAATTGAAGGACTTTCTCCTCCAGCGCACTGAACTGGATCCCAGACTCCTGCAGAAAGTTCTTCTTTACTTCCTGAACCTTTTCTGTGGGGACAAAACACAAAAACCACAACTTTAATTAGTTCATGGAGCCGAACCCCCAAACGAGGCCAAAGAAGAGAAAGTGTCCTTAAATTTTCATCGAGAACAAGGATAGGTCCCATTTAAAGAACTTTGAGGCAAACTAAGACAGTTTAGGACTGACAAAAGTTACTCTTTTCAATTGCTCCTTCAGGGGGAAATATGCTGATAAAAAAGGAATCATTCAGTAAAATTTGCTAATGGCTTTGCAGGAATTTAGGGGATTTTTCAATTAACACAAGTCAGAGGAAACAAACCTTAGATGATTTAAAATAAAGAGACTTCAAAGGGCTGAAATCATCCGAAAAGAAAAAGAAAAAAGTTTCTTCAAAAGGGAAGAAATCACCCTTTAAGCTGCCCACTCAATAACCAGGTTTAATAAGATCAATGAGGTTTGGTTATTAAACAGCTAATAAAACCCAAAAGGATCACAGATGGCTGATTAACGGCCTTGTTTTTATTGATCTAATGTTTCCTTTACGTCGACCCAACGCCGGCAGGTTCCAGGAGGAGCGAACGAGGGATGGTTTAACCCACCAGACAGAGGGGTGGGAGTGGAATGAGACAGGAAAAGCCATGTGTGGCCACACCTCCCAGCGGCCTGTCCTGGCTTTGAGACTTGTCCTTCCTCCATTCGGACACCACATCCAGGATGGCGTTGAAGTGGAAGTCCATGCGTTTGTCGATGGCTGGGTCGGCCACCTGCCCGCCCTCCTGGAAGAGGTCACAGCGCTCCCCCAGCTTGTGCATTTTCAGGCCCATCTGCAGCAGAGACGCACAAACAATGGGCCAAAGCAGAGCTGCAGCCAAACCGGACGTCACAGGACGCTGTCTTCGGAAAAGCTCTAACCTGAACACAAAGTCAGAAACCTGGTCCCTTCACATCAATACACATTTGATTACTTTCACCTTTCTGCATCCAGCAGACGCTTTTATCCAAAGTGACTCAGGAAATAAAGGTTTAACATTCAGCTCCAACTCCAGTTCCACTTTAAGCGTAGCTTAAGAATGATATGCTAGAAGAGGATTTAATATTAAGGGTTTAACATTCAACTAGAACATGGATTACACAGGTAGCATCCATTGATGCTACATGCTATCAGGACAAAAGAGCATTTAGAGCTTTAGGACCAGATATACTCCGGAAGGACCATCTATCTATCTATCTATCTATCTATCTATCTATCTATCTATCTATC